AGGCCATAAGGTCTCAGTCGCAACTATTCAAGTTGGCCCATGTAGCACAAAAGAAGCCAAAGACAATGTGCAAGTAAATGAGCATAGCTGTGTTCTAATAAAACTTTATTTATAAAAACAGGCAGCAGCCTGGATTTGGAGCACATGACATAATTTGCCAAGCTCTGACATAAATCATTTGTTGTGTGCAGGAGTGTCAGTTTCAGGAAGGAATGATGTTCAATGACACCCTTAGGAAGGAAGTTTCTGCTTTGGCGCAAGAAAACTTTCAGGCGTATTGTTCTACCATTACCTAAGTAACCTTGAATTAATACCTTGAATTATTTCCTCAAATAAATTAGCTCAAGTAACACCAGAATCTGCACTTAACATAATTACCAGGTTATTTTAAGATAGTACATCTACAGACCAATATGTCTCAAACGCTAATCAAATTACAGATTCTGAGGTCTGAGGCCTGAGATTTTGTATTTTCCATCAGCTCCTGGGTGATACTCATGCTGATCAGTGGATGATACTTCAATTAGCAAAGATCTGTTTTAGACCCTCCTCTACAAAACCCAATACTGGAGTGGAACCTTGGAGCAGGCGGGTTCCAGCAGCCCACCACCGCCTACTCAGTTCCTCTACCCTCAAACAGAACAACACGCATGTAATATTATGCATTGTAAAGGTTATGCAAAAGCAAAAATAGCTGCCAGAGACTCAGACCTTGACTAAGAGGGTCTCACAATCTTTTGAGGGGGCAAAAGCTCATGCACAATAAAAAATTAACCAATACAAGAGGTTGTATAAATGTCTCCTATAAGACAATGAGACATCAGTAAGAAATCCTGACAATGCTATGAATGTCTAGAAGGGAGACCCCAACCCCTCTCATTCATCATAAAAGGAGCTCCATGCCCCAGGAAGCAGGAACTTTGAGCAGGTTCAAGCTGGGGAGGAAATTCAGTGAACATCGCCAGCCAGCAACACTTAACATCATTCCTGCAGCCTACAATCTCAGGCTAAAAATAGCTAATGTAATATGAGAAATTATAAGGCAATGAAAATTGAAACAATGGAAATAAGATTCTTGCTAGCAGCCCTAGATCTACTCTGAGGGCAATACAGTTTGTTGCTGACCCTCAAATCGACTCTTCTAGGCCACGAAGATCAAAGCAAAAGCAAGAGATTGAGACCTTAGAAAACACTGGCTCAAAGTGTCCCGTGCATATATATTTTAGGCTGTCAAATATTTCCCCTGGATAGCTTATTGCTATGATGCCTTAAATCTGGTTCAGGACTGCTCCCATATTCAGCAAGATGGGCATTGGAAATGAGCAAATCCGAAAGCAAAGTCATCTCTCCCTCCTAGAGCATGTACCATGCAGATGCTGAATCTCTAAGATGGTGTCCAGATGTCTCAGCCCAGCCAGCAGTCAGAGCTCTCCACGATCTGGGAGCCACTCTCTTTTCCAGCTTTATCTTCCACTACTCCTCTACCCTGACCCTCTGCTCCTCATAGATTGCTATTTCCTCCTTCCTCTCCACCCGCATGTCCAGTGTGGTCCTTGCTCCCTAGTCACTCTGAGTCATTGTTGACTAGGTCAGCTCCACTGATAGGGACTGACCCACACTTCTCTCTATATGTTGAATTCCTGCCTAGCCTCCGAGGTTTGGCCCAAGTCCACCCCCTCCGCAGTCAAGGCATTTGTCTGCTGACCATCCCAGCTACAAGCGCTCTCTCCTTCCTTCAAACATTCATCACCATCTTGACACATCCTTACCTCCCTTGAGCGTAGTTTTTTGTTCCTTCCCTCTCCTATTAGCCATGAGCAACTTAGGCTGGGATTATCTCATATTTATATTTGTATCCCTTCAAGTCACTTCCAGAGTCTCTGACACATCTCAGGTGCTCAGTAAACATGTTATTATTTTAGTAAGTAAAAATATCCCCCAAAGCCCTTGGATCCTGTGAGCAAATAAGAGCGTAGTGTTCTCCAGTCCAACAGATCTTTTTCATATTACCATAGCCTGCTCTCAGCTTATGCTCTTCAGAACCTTTTGGAGCCCTGTTCATCCAGAAATGTCTAAGTCAACTTTTGGCACACCTGACCTTCCTTGCTTTTTGAAGGGCTTCTTTCCTGTTTCTAATAGATCTCTCCTCTCCTGCAGTGGCATACCCACAATAGCCATGGCTCTCTGATTCGTTAGACACTGATCCTGATCTTGCCATTTCTAAAATTATCCTGGCAGAACCAACGTTCAAAATCTCAGACAACAAGATTTGTGCAGCAACATGATCAGAGTGTCTCATTTATCTCAACCATAAACCATTCTGTAACAAGCAGACATCTCCTAGGTTTGTTCCTGTCACAGCCCTAACTTCCACCCATCCCCACTGTCACCCCCACCTCCTACACCACAGGCTATGCTGTCTTCACGCTCTAGAAAATGTGTTCTCCAGGACACACGAAACCAGAACCTCTCATCAAAGAGACTCATGAGAAACAGACCACTTGCAATGGGAAAAAGATAGCTTCTCACTCACGAAGGAAAACCAAGTTATAGTTGGAAATACAAGCCTTTCCTTTAAAGGAGAAATTAACGTTGGCAGCATTGGTGTTTTGAGCTGCCCTCCAACAATGTTGAAAGAGCCATTTTGGGAGAGAGAAGGAAAGGAAGAAAGTGTGAGTGATAAATGGAGAGAAGGAAACAGAGAATGGGAGGGAGACAAAAAGGGAAAAGGGGAGAGAAAACAGAACAACAGGAGGGAACGAAAGGGAGGAGGAGGTGGAAGGCAGAGTAAGAGAATGAGAGCCAAAAGGATCAGGGAGCAGAGTGGGGAGGTGAAAGAGGAGGGGGAGAAGGGGCAGGAAAGGCAGAGAAAGACAGCTGGCTGCACTGCTGGTCTCACAAACATGGGCCACCAGTTCCGCGGCAATCTTGACATCTCCACTGGGAGCTCTAATATTCACAGAGGGACAGACTCTCTGTTTACTTATTAAGAACACTCTATGCTTTGAAATCTATGCCAGAGTCCCCTAGGCCCGAAACAGACAACTGAACAGAATTTGGGGAATTTATCTCCAAAGGTTATTGTTAACCTTTTGCTCTCAGTATTCATTAAAGATGAAAGATCTTTGGAAAGTAGGTGACCATATATACAGATTAAACCTCATGTTCCAGAGTGTATTAATAACTCTCCCTTTCCCTCACAAGTGTTCCAGTTTAGATGCTAAATTACTTCATCTTCCTATTAATAAGAAACAGAGGAAACTGAGACCCATTAAGTCTCTAAACAGACTGAAATACTTGGTCTCCTCATTCTCAGAAAAGGAGGAAGCCAAATTGGTGACCAGAAGAAACCAGAAGAGACCAGAAGGACTCTCTTCTGAGGGAACCAAAGTCCTTGGGATAGCTCTAGGCATAATACCATGGTGGGGGGGTAGGAAGGGACACCCAGTTTAGGCTTCACAAGCCAAAGCTATATATAGCACATGCCTTGGATATTGAAATAATAATTTCTGGAAATAGTCATTTAAGTTTGGGTGGCAGGGGAAGAAAAGACCAGAATGATAGATTTCGAAAGGTAAAGCAGAATGATTCATGGGTAAATAATGTTTGAGGAATCTCATGTAATAGAGAAAAGCTGCAATAGCTTCTAGTTAGTGGTTAAATGTAGCAATGAATTATTCATTCTGAAAAGTACACCATGAAGACTCAAGTTAAGACCTCATAGATCTCCAGTATCAAAAGTCTATTGAAGGGAGTGAAGGAAGGGAAGGGAGGAGGAAGGGAGGATAGGAAGGCAAAGGAAATTAGTTTCAAGGCAATCTGTGGGAAGAAGGAGATCCAAGATATTTTATCACCACAAAGAAGCTAGGGGAAAATTGGGGGTCGGGGTAGGTCCCTAGATAATAAACAGAAAGGAGTGTGTAATCCAGTGAGCACGTTGACAGTGAGAAGAATTCTCCTGGGGAATGTGAGAAAACACTACTTTATCCTCCTGCCCGCATCCTTCACTCCCAAGAACTCACAGGTCCACATTATTTACCCCCTCATCCATTTATTCAGCAAGTTGTACAGAAGCTGTGAGGGATATAAGTCTAAGTCAGGTCAGTGGCTTCTCCCTGAGCATCTTCCACGTGCCAGACCCTGCATTAGATGCTGGAGGTGCAGGCATGAAGGAGATACAATTTCTGCCTTCCATGAGCTCCAGGCCGAGGAGGCCTCAGACTCACAGAATTGCTTCAGCTCTAGATTTGTTGGTGGGATTTGAGCTGTTGAAGGATGAACTGAGAAGTCCCCTTGAGACCAAAATTCCCCTACAGCAGACCACCTTGACGTGTGCAAGCGCTTCCTAGTTTCCTCATGAAAGCTATGCAGTGTGTCATGCTTCCTTTCTTGCCTTGATTCTCAGAACTAAATGTTGCACTTATCTGCAATAAGCATCCTTGGGCTAGGTTTTCGTGTACATTTAGCTCTCCCAAAACTTATTACAGGACTCTGGTTCTATTACCCTGGTTTTCGTAGTCCTATTAAGTATTATTTTTCTCTAAGCCATCTCAAATTATTGCCGGAAGAAGGCAACTCATAAAAAAATTAATAAATGAAGTTGCAATATTAGAAGAGACCCAGATTGACCCAGGAACCCCAGAGATTCTGATGGCTCCTACAGGGATAGGGCAGGCCTAGACATCCTGGGTCACTCAGAGAAGACACCCTTAGCCAAGACACCCCAAGACTGGTCTCTAATCTGGGCAGCCATACTGGATCAGTGAAGTGTGCAAAATAAGCTGACATTCAACATCAGGTTTCCAATACAATCAAATACAGGATCTTCTCATTTGACATCAGCTTTGGACACAGAACGCACATGCTCAACTCTCCCTGTGACACCAGCCAGGGTAAGTGAGGGACTCCAGGGGAGCGACATGGGGAGCAGGTTGTTCCCCCTCCTGCCATCACCCCCAATCTCATGTGCTGACAGAGCTTCAATGACTGGTCCTACTTACATCAACGGCTGCAGAACATTCTCTGAGGAACGAGATCCTCAAGAACAGCTGGGCTCTGTTTCTCTTCAATTATTGTAGCGTCTTTGCTTCAGGCCACGAGCCTTGGAACTTTCTAGAGCATTGAACTCCAGACCAGTTGTAGATCTCCCTTTATGGAGGGGAAAAAGGGAAAAGCAATATTTCATTACAAACTTTTGCTTCATTCACATTTTCTTTCCCACTTGCTATTCCTGTGCACAATTCTCAAACAGAAGTCTCTCAAGTACCCCAGGCACTGAAGGAGTTTGAGAAATCCCGGAGGACCTCAAAGAGATTTTGTTTATTGGGGAGTACCTGTTGATATTTATTGATTTAGAAATTACAATGGAGAATTTTAAATTTATTAATTCTTTGAAACAATAGTTGCATGTTAACAAATAATATTTCTTTATAAAAATAACTACTTTCAAAAAATACTTAGAAGAGTGACATTGTTTCACATTTTTAAAAACCTCTTTGATATCTGGCTTAATCAAACACAGACTCTCAAATCTGCTTCTGGATTCAATTTGTTGCAACGTGACATGTATCTAACCTCCAGCAAACTCCACCATACTTTCATTCGAGAATGAGAGTCAAAAAAGCAAAAATATCTTGGTACTAGTAGGACAAGAGTTTTGATCTTGTGGGTCCCCTGAAAGCGTCTCAAGAACTCTCAGGGATCTCCAGACAACACTGGAACCACTGCTCCACACGACCAAAAGTTAGGTCTCTTCCACCTCAGACTGTCATTCCCATTCTTCAGACGCAACTAGTTAGCAGATACCTGAGTAGTCTTCTAGAACCATCCTACACATCTATAAAAGTATATGGATGTATAGTTTTTTTTAATTAAAAAGAATCAAGTATTAGCACACTACACATTTCACCTTGGGTTTTCTGTTATAGAGTCATGCATCGCTTAACAACAGGGATATGTTCTGAGACATGGGTCGTAAGGCAATTTTGTTGTTGTGCGAACACTACAGTGTGTACTTACACAAACCTAGAGGGTATAGCCCACTACACACCTAGGCTATGTGGTCCTAATCTTATGGGACCACTGTTGTACATGCGGTCTGTCACGGGCTGAAACGTCATTATGCGGTGCATGGCTGTACGTGCTGGGGTAGCTGCATTTTAGCACGTGTAGTTATGTCATTCCTTCCCACAGATCTGCTGCATTTCGCTGAATGGATGTAGCGACTTACAACTCTATCTAGTGCCACAGTGTTCACGCGGGTTGCTGAACAGCTACTGTAAATTGCCAGTTTCTTCAGGGAAGGATACAGAACTTAAAGGGAATAAAGTGGCCACACAGAGCAAGAACAGACGTCACCTATACTAGTACAGCTTTCCCTTGGCTTCTAGGTTCCTAACAAGGCATGCAACTGAAGTCTTCACATTTGGGAAAATATTCAGACTTGCGCTATACTACGGCCCTTTTATACTTGGGACTCACCTCACCATTCCAGACAAACTTATATTAACAATCTCTCTGCCTATTTTTACAGGAATGTTTACCAACATCAGCCTCTCTTGAAACACTTGCTATCATGAGTGTCACCTCACTGTGGAAGAAGAAAGGAGGATCAGGGTCCAAGTGTCCCCAAACTGTATTTCTGCAAATTATTTGCCTGTAGGACTAAGATGGCAAAGGTTAACCCTGTTAGATCACAATTTCCCTGACATAGAAAACCCCTCACCAAAAGGAAACCTTCACCTCATACGGCTAATTTGGTCCAATTACATTGCAGGCTTCAAATGCTAAAATGTATGCAGACCATCTGGGTTCACTTTCTCACTCGGAGATTTACTAGCTGTTTAATCTTGGGAGTTACTTGGCTTCTACTTCCTTGTAAAACAGAGATAATGACACCTACCTCACAACGTTAATAAGAAGAATAATTGTAACTACATATGAAACGTGCCTACCACATAGTGGGTGCTCAATGCTCAGTAATTCTTAGCTCCTTCTCTTTATTGCTCTATGAATGGAAATAAGATATGAGACTGGTATGTCCCGGACTGAGCTGGCTTTTCAGGGGACCCCCGTGGTCTAGTCTTTTAGGAAGTCTGGAGATGTAGAAGACTGGGGCGGGGGCCGGCTCCGCTGCCGAGTGGTTAAGTTCGCGCGCTCCGCTGTGGCGGCCCAGGGTTCGGATCCACAGGCGGACATGGCACCACTCGTCAGGCCACATTGAGGTGGAGTCCCACATCCCACAACTAGAGGGACCTGCAACTGAGATATACAACTATGTACAGGGAGGGCTTTGGGGAGATAAAGGAGAAAAAAAAAAAAGACTGGGGCAGAGAAGATGGTAGAAGATTTTTTTTCCAACAAAAAGGAGTTTCTTGAGATGTTTTTCGTCTGTCCAATTCAAAATTAGAGGCACAGGTCTACTTTCTTCCTTTCTTCCTCATCAGGCCAGGAAAATGGGCACCAACGGTCCCTGCATTTCTGTTTCAACTTTCTATCTGCCTCTGAAATTACATAGGCCAGTGTGGTTTGCATTTGTTGGTCCACAGAACCTAGAGAAAATCCACCAGGTTTGGGGGAGCCCCCCAGGAGAGGATGAGGACAGAGAGATATCCTTCTGAGTAATTCCTAGCAGTAGAACCTGCATCTACAACAATTACGGGACAGATGTATTATGACCTCCATTTGCAGATGAGGAAACTAAGGTTTGGAGACATTAAGTAAATTCCCCCAAGGTACCAGGGCTAACAAGGACAGGGTCAGAATTCAAAACCAGGTCTGCCTTACTCCAAAGCCCAGGTTTTCAACCATGTCGTCATCTGATGCTCCAGCTGGAAAGGATACCAGCCCTGTCATGACTTAGCAAGGCCAGCCGGCTTCACAGAGATGGTCTCATAAGAGAGACAAATTATTCTCAGCTCTCAGCTAATTAGTTCACTAACACAATATTGTAGCTAAAATCAAAATTCTTCAGAAAATCATCCCTAAACTAGACATAAAAGTAGAATGGAAGGACACTAAAACCCAGATTTTCTTAGTTTTGGATTTGTAGATTATCTATTTTATCAGTATTTGATTAGATTAAGATTAGTAGATTGTTTCATTTTATGGATTATTATTTTCAATACCAGATTAATAATTCAATACTAATTTATCCAATGAAGTTTCTAGCTTCCAGAAGATATCAGGTGCTATAGGTGCTAAAGATGAAGAAAACCTGTTCCTTGGGCTCAAAAAAGATATAATGAATATAACTATTCACTTGCGTTGGTGGGATAATAAGATAGAAAAGACTAACGTGCTAAAAGAAGGAGAAATCTAGCCAGTGGAGTGCTCAAGGAAGACCTGTTGAAGGAGGAAGGAGGCATCATCTGAGCTGACTCTGGAAATATGACTGGAATTTTGTCAGGTAGAAAAAATGAACACGAAAGTGTAAGAAAAGGGTACAATTTGAATAGGCAAGTTATGGAATGAGGAGATCAATAAATAGTGGCTGGAGGACAGGAACATCTCAGTAACTGAAGATAAAGCTGGAAGATCGTTGAGGCTGTGGGCACTGGCAAGGAGTGAGCAGGAGTGACCCAGGAAAAGCTTTGGAAGGGAGGGCTGGCAGGTTCAGAGAGGCCCTATAAGGCTTACCCTGGGATGTGGAATGCTTTAGAGGAGAGACAGAGCAGAGTGACCAGTTACAGCCTGACCTAGAAAAACGACATCAGGAAGGGAAAAGAAATAACGTGGAGGTATAAGAATAGCATGGAGAGCATTGAGGGTTGACCAGTGACTGGCTAGAGCAAGGCAGAAGGAGGAGTCACAGAGCCTGAGTTTCCAGCCTGCACGTGCCCAGGACCACATTATTATTAATGAATTCCAAGAAAACTAGAAGAGGAATTGGTTTGTAAGGGAAGATGGTGAGCTGGGTTTTGAACACAAGGAATTTGCTTTCCCTACAATAGGAACAGGTAAACACATTGAGCAGAGACGTAGAAATTTGTGTCTGGCACTCAAGAGAGAGTTTGGTGTGAGAGATACATATCTGAATATCAAATACACAAAGGCGGTAACTGAAGGCTGAAGCAATTGAGATGATCTGGGAAGAAGGAAGAGAGGGAAACTGAAGACAGGACCTTGGAGCTCACCTGCATTGAGTGGGTAGGAGAAGAAAGGATCTGGGTAGGATCCAGGAAAACAAAAATGGTTCCTCCACGCAAAATATTGGGAGTCCCTGATCTAATCTTAACTCCCTTATTTCACAGATGAGGAAAACCCAGACTTAGAGGCTTAACTGATTTATCTAAGGCTTCACACTGCTTAGTAGCAAAACTAAGACTAGATGGATTAAGTGACCATTGGGAATTGGTATTGCCTGAGCAACTGGGAGAGTTGCATGTGCACCATAGGACACAGCTGGATTCAGAGAAGCCTGAGAGCAAACTAGAAACTTCATTTATCTCTGTGACATCAGTCCAGCACTGTCACTGTGCCCAACCATATAATCAGCTCAAGGGTTCAAACCACATCTTATTTGTCTTGTTGTCACTGTCTCTCTGCCCTCACTTTCCCCACCACTGTCTCAACCACCAGTGTTATTACAGAATAGAAAAATCACAGATTATTTTCCTTGTCTGAATACGCACATGATCATAGCCTTTTGGAGTTGAAAGAACTTAAGAATTCATCTAGTATTAGTGTAATGTCTGTGAAAACAGACCCAGGGAAGTTCAATGAACAGATGACCAGTTAGAAGTAGAACTCTGGGGCTGGCCCTGTGGCTGAGTGGTTAAGTTCCCACGGTCTGCTTTGGCAGTCCAGTGTTTCGCAGGTTCAGATCCTGGGCACGGACCTAGCACTGCTCATCAAACCATGCTGAGGCGGCATCCCACATAGCACAACCAGAAGGTCCTACAACTAGAACATACAACAATGTTCTGGGGGGGCTTTGGGGAGAAGAAGAAAGGAAAAAAAAAAACAAAATGATGAAGATTGGCAATAGATGTTAGCTCAGGTGCCAATCTGTAAAAAAAAGAAAAAAAAAAAAAGTAGAACCCTCACCAAAATTCCAACCTCTTGTTTCTTCCCATTATACTACCAACCTTTAGTGCAAGAGACTTATTTTTAAGCCAAACTCTCTAGTCTCTAATTTCTCAGAATCT